CGGTGCAGGATAAACTCACGGTGTGGAGGATGAACTCACGGTGGTGGATGAACTGTCCTCACGGTGGAGTATGAACTCACGGAGGTTCTTATAGCTTTGTGAAAGAACTACAGATACATTAGGGCACAAAGGGAGTTGAAAAGTTTTTTTGGTACTGAAATTTTGATATTATTCAATTTAGGCGCTAAATCAGAATTTTTTTTTGACGTCTTCGTTTTGGGTATGTAAAGACAGAAAAATATGAAAAAAAAATAAAAATAAATCATAATTCATAAATTGGGAGGTAATGTGAAACTATTCCCACTAAAAAATAAATCTGTGTGTTTTATGAAATTTTTTAGTTCAAATTTGTAATTTATTGCAGAGAGAGAGATGAGGGGAAAACTGATAAAAAAAAAAAAAAAAGAGCGCAAAAAATTAGTAGTCTATTTTTTTTCATTACTGCTTAATTTGTCAAGATTTTCCTTCCAAAATTAGTGACGAAATAATTTCCTCACTAAAAGGTCTCAAAATATTAAAAATTTCTAATGACGAAAACATATTTCTCACCAAATAATCTTAAAATATTTAAAATCAAGTGTTTTTTTTTAAATATAAAATTATTGGTGACGAAAATATATTCCTCACTAATAATTTTATAATTAATAACAAATTTTTTTCTCACCGAAAGTCTCAAAATTTTGGCGCCACCAAAAAAAATTACCAGAAAAACTTTCAACGACGAAACTTAATTTTTTCTCACCTAAAAGAAGCATTTATTGATGAAAATAAATTTTGTCGCCTATTATTTTTTTTTTATTTATTATATGTGACAAGATTTTATAATTTGTCATGAATTGTTCTTATTTAGCGACGAAATTTATTTTCTTCACTACTTTTCGTCACCATAAGTTACTTTTGTTGTAGTGTGGCTTTTGGGCCATGGCGGCAGCAACGAATGATGGAAGATGATGGGAAGAGGCGACAGAGAAGGTGGTGGCAACATGGAGAGAGAGAGAGAGAGAGAGAGAGAGAGAGAGGGGGAGGGTGGCAACGAAGGTAGAGCAGATGGTAGAGTCGACGACGAAGAATCGACGGAAGACAGAGCGGTAACAGAGAAGCTCAGATCTACAGCTCACATCGAGGTATGAAGCGGCAATGCAAGGTCGACGGCAACTCCAATGTTGCAGCAATGGCAGTGGCACAGTGGAGGAGAGAGAGAAAGAGTGAGAGAGTAGAGGAAATACATATATATATATATATATATAGAGAGAGAGAGAGAGAGAGAGATGAAGTGTGATTTGTTCGGTTTTGGACTGTATATATGATATATATATATATAAGGAAGGATATGTTGGTCATTATTCTTAAATTTGTCTTTTTAGACAAAATATTTCAATGCCTAGACCTTTGAGGAAATAAAATTAAAATTTAAACTTTTGGACTAATGGCCATTAATTAAAGTAGTTGTATTTCTAATTCCTACAGAAAGATTTGATGTTTGAACTTACATTGACTTAACTAGTTAAATTGTCAACATTTTACGGAGCAAAAACAACAAAGATTAAATGGAAACAATGTGACTAATAAAAAATAATTAATGAATTAAATTAACAACTTATTATACTCAACATTAACCGCTGAAATTAGGGTGAGACTAAAAATAACTTGTAATAATAACAAATGAATTTATGTCAAAAGAAAAAGGCAAAGTGACCCACCATCACTCATTCTTTGGGTGTATATAAAGGAAGGTGGGTGAGTGGGGCTTTATTGGCATCTAACCGCTCCCGTGATCACTACTTCTTACTTTTGTAACATGGGTGGTTTCTCCCTCTCTTTTTCTTTTCTTTGTTTTTTTTTTAAATAAAGCAGCTGATGGGAAGGAAACCTTGCTGTGACAAATTTGTGGTGAAGAAAGGACCATGGACAGCTGAGGAAGACGCCAAACTCGTCAGTTTCATCCTCACCAATGGCCACTGCTGCTGGCGTGCCGTTCCGAAGCTCGCTGGCCTCCGCCGCTGCGGCAAGAGCTGCCGCCTCCGCTGGACTAACTACCTCCGCCCTGACTTGAAGCGTGGCCTACTCAACGAGGAGGAAGAGAAGTTGGTCATTGATCTTCATGCCCGCCTCGGCAATAGGTCTCATTTCTCTTTCATTATTCTTTTGAATAATTTTATATGTACCACACTTTTACTTTCTCGAATTTACTCGGAATGAAATTATGTAAATTCGGAATGAAATTATGTGTGGAATAAATTTAAATTATAAGATTATAATTTTAAGTAATATTTAGATAAATAATAATTTTGAATAATTTCTGAATAGATAAGTGAGTTTATATTATTTATTCTTTTCTCACCATAAACTCTATCAAACAAGAAAACAAAAAATAAAATAAAACAAAACAAAAACTTATTTAGAGATTTGCATGGGGGATGTGGATTTGATTTCAGAATTTTACAAATTTAGAATTTTTAGTGAGAATTTTACGGACTTATCAATTTATGATTCATATTTATTTTATACATGACCACACATTGTACTAATTTAGGTCTCGTTTGTCCACCTTTAGTTTATTCAAAAAAGTTACTATAAATTGTTACATCACTTTTTCTACTTTTCTGTACATCTTTTCCTAAAAAATCAAAAAGTTACTAAAATATCTTACTCCCAAACGAGGCCTAATCTTCACCACAAAATCTTACTCTGCATCAAAATTTGGCACATCTTCTGTGCCTATAAATTATTTGATTTGATTTTGTCATCGTAAGGCTCGATTATAGATGAATCTTGGTTATAGATTATAAATTTGGGTAATATTTTAATTTTATTTTTGGGTTTGTAGAACTGCCGATTGTTCCCTCAATATTTAAGTACTGTTATACAAACTCAATTTTTCTATATAATTTTTGTTGAGAGATTCTCAATTTTTGTTCATAATTTTTAAATCATGAGAATGTTTGTTCTCATTTGATTTTAAATTAAAACACTTAGATAGCGTTTGATACCGTTTACGTTGTTGGTTTATTTTTATAAAAATTTTATAAACTGATTTTTGTTTATTTTTAAAAAAACATAAACTACAAATGCGTTTGATTTAAACAAAATATTTGAAAATTTTTAAAAACATAAACTAAAAAATATGTTTTTTTAGCCTAAAATATTTATATTTATTTTTTATTATTTATGACAATAAGATCATACACATTATAATTGAAAAAAAAAATTAATTAAAAAAATTAATTGGAAAAAAAATTATTAGTCAAATTTTTAAATTTCTGTTTAAAAAACAACGTAAACTCAAAAAATGAGTTTACGTTTTTTTCTCAAATTTATAAACTAAGACAGCCATTTATAAACTAAAAAAATTATCAAATAAGTTTTTATGACAGTTTTTAAAATTTTTATAGATATAAACTGAAAACGAAATGATTACGAAACAAGTCTTATTACAAGAATTTATAATTTGTAGATTGACAAGTGTATTTGAGAGTATGATTAGCAAATTTTAAAATGATTATACATTTGTTCATGCATTATGCATTACTTAATAAGTGTCCTAAGAGCCCAAATTATCCAAATCTTTTTGAAAATATTTTGCAACATTAGTCTGGATGATTTTTATTTTTTATTTTATAAAAATTCAATTTGCAAATTATTTATGGGAAAAAGATTTTAGAATAATGTTTGAGGGCCCGAAATTAGTGGCTCGAATTTGGCTCAAAACCCAAAACGACGTCGTTTTGGGTTTTGATTTTTTTTTTTTTTTTTTTTTTCTTCTTCTTCCTTCCTCTTCTTTCTTTTCTTCTTCTTCTTCTTCGTTTTGAACCTGAGAAGCAGAGGCGAGAGAGAGAAACAGAGGGGAGAGGTGGGAGCTCGTCGTCGGTCGTCGGCCAATCGTCGCAGCTCGTCGGTCGTCGGCCGATCGTCGCCTCTGCCTCCGCCCGCCTCCACCTCCGCCTCCCTCCGCCTCCGCCTCCAGCCCTATTTTTAGGGCCCCCTCCAGTTCTGCTTCTCCTTCTCTTCTTCTTCTTCTTCTTCTTCTTCTTCTTCTTCTCAAATTCGAGCCAAATTTGGCTCGAAACCCTTTCGGGCTCTGTAGCAGAGCTGAAGATTTTAATGGCACAAAAGTGTAGGCATAGCTATTTTAGCACAAATGATTGACATATATTGAAGTTTCTTGTGCACGTTCCCATGGATCTTATTTCTTTAGTTACTCTTGTTTGTTCCATTTAGGTGATATTGAGGGTTGTTTTGGGAATAGACTATTTTAATAATTTTTTTACTTTTTGATTAAAAGATGTTATGAAAAAAATTAGTATATTTGAGATATTTTTTGACTTTTTACAACAAAAAAAAAATGTACAAAAGTAGAGGAAATAAAATTTTTGACTTTTTTTGTATAATTTTTTAACTTTTTAATTATTATCCAAACTTCCCAAACTTAGCTTGAGACTCATCAATTAATATTTCTTTAAAGCTCTGTTTCTTTTTCTTTTCTTTTCTTTTCTTTTCTTTTCTCTACAAAATAACCCCTTTTTTTTATGTTTAATTCCGTCTTTAAAACTAATGCACTAATAGTTTTATTGATGGTGGCACTACAAGAATTTTCACATTTTGCGACCACTTTTACCGACTAAAAAAATTTTGGTTGCAAAAAAATTACATTTAGCGACCAAATATTAATTAGTCGCGAATGATCATTATTTTTGGCGACCAAATATTATTGGTCGTAGAAGGTTATATTTTGGCGACCAAAAAATGAGTTGGTCGCAGAAAGTGGTATACTTTTGCCGACCAACTATAAATTTGGTCGCGGAAGGTCACATATTTTTTGGCGACCAAAAATTTAGTTGCGAAAAACTTATTTTCAGCAACCAAAAAAAATTAGTCGACAAATTAGTACTTTTAGCGACTAATATTTTAGTCGTCGTTGATTGAGATTTGGCGACTAAAAATTTTTGTCGGCGAAAGTACCTGTTTTTGCGACTAATTTGATCTTTTGGTCGCCAAAAGTTTGGGGGGAAATTTGAAACGTGGGGCGGGAATTGAATTTCAGAAAAAAAAAATTAAAGCCTGATCTCCCTTGTCTCTATCTAAAAAAAGCCCTAATCTGTGTCTCTCTATGTTGGCCCGCCCCTCTCTCTTTCTGTGTTCTCTCTCTCAATCGGTGCCCACTCTCTCTAGCTCACCGAAGTCCCTTACCACCATTGCTCACGTCCGTCGCACATCGCCATCGACATCGCCCTCTGTCTAATGGACTCCTCATTTCTGGGCCGTGGAAGCAGGGTTGGAGGGTGAGATACGAAGGGAACGAGTGGGATTCGGAGACCTTGAAGGTTTTTGTGGTCCCCCATTCGCATAATGACCCGGGTTGGAAGCTCACTGTTGAGGAGTATTATGATCGACAGTCGAAGCATATTCTTGATACCATCGTCATGGCTCTTTCGAAGGTGATCTGGGTTTAATTTTGGGGTTTGAAATGTTGTTCCTTGATCTGAATTCAGTTGGGTTCTGTTTGTAAACTGAGTTTAATTAGTTAGTACTAGTTGCTTGATCTTAATTTTGTTGGGTTTTACTGATCTTGATTATTGATGAACAATGATTCTGCTTTCGATCTAGCTTAACTATAGTGCCGGTAAACTTACTGAGAAAAAAATTATACTTCATGCAAAAGAATCTAATGGTCTTCATTACGGAATAAGATACTTCCACACAAATTCACATTTTTGGTTGAATTTTGACAAATTATATATTTCATCAATTATTGGACCAAGTGAATTGGATGTAAGTGATGAAAAAAAAGTCTGTAATATATAGTAGAGTAATTTCACAAATGATTTTTTAGATACTCAGGCATTTAGTTTATTGGATGAGAAAATATATGCAAACTTGTTGGCTTTGAAAACTACTAATGGAACTAAAAAGTGAGAGGCTCACTAGCAGGTTTCCGTTACCAAATGCTCTCTCTCTCAAGAATGTTCAATCTAGTAGTTTAACAAATGATTTTTTGGGGACTCAAGCATTTAGTTTATTGGATGAGAAAATATATGCAAACTTGTTGGCTTTGAAAACTACTAATGAACCTAAGAAGTGAAACGCTCACTAACAGGTTTTCTCTCTCTCTCTCTCTCTCAATTATGGTGTGTGTCAATTGCCTTGAACTTAATTGGGGTTGGATTGCTAGTTTATTCATATTATCTTTGCCTAGTCTATGGCAAAAAGTTATTAATGTTGAATGCTATACTAATTAACATTCTTTGAACTTGGATTTGCAGGATCCTCGCTGCAAATTTATATGGGAGGAGATGTCTTATTTGGAGAGATGGTGGAAGGATGCCTCAGAAACTAAAAAAGAATCTTTCATCAATCTAGTGAAGAATGCACAGTTAGAAATTGTTGGAGGTGGGTGGGTGATGAATGATGAGGTAAAATCCGCAAACATGTGGATAGTTTGAACTTGCGTGTTTCACCTCTAGGCTTCCTTATAAATTTATTTAGGGTGTGGGTTTGAATGCAATTTCATGAAATGCAGTTCTATTGGCTATTGTTTTGTGCAAGCTAATTCATCACCATCTTCAAATCAATCAGAGAATGTGCATTGCCATGCTTGTGGGGCACTAAAAAATTGCCACTATTGTGCTATGTTCTTTCTCTGATGTACTAACTCCTAGTGCTCTGACTGCAATTTATGAAAACTTTATTCAATGTCTTTGTCTCTGACTGGAATTATACATCTGAAAATCATAATACTAAGATTAAATGAAGTTATTTACATAATCTTAGACTTATGCCAAGGGCTAAAGGAACTGATCTTTCATTTGTTCTCTCAGGATTGTTGGGCAATTGTATATTGAACAAGCTTGACTTACTAAATTTGAGACAACTTTTTGCAAGCTAATTCACATTATTTTGCTATCATTGAACAGGTATTGAATTATGTTGGTCTGATTGTCCCCTATACAAGTATATGACGAGTATATGAATTGTAGATTGCTTTACATACCAAACACAAGCTTTTAAGTGGTATACGAGTATATGACGTTGAGATATATTTTTTTTATTTTTTTTTTAAACTTGTGCTTGGTATGTAGTCTCACCAAAGGTTTTTAATCCTTGTTACTAAGTACATCATCTTTCCTAACATTTTTGGGCACCCTCGTGCTTCTACCCTTCTGATGGAAAATTGAGCCTTCCATGGAAATTTGATAACCCATGTCAGAATGTGAAATCAGATGATGTTTCCTATTTGTCATGTGCATAGAATCTTAATTTTCCGTTTGGTTATTCATCTACCATGGCATATCTTCTTCGTCGCATGGGCTTTGAGAACGTGCTTATACAGAGGACCCATTATGATTTGAAAAAGGAACTGGCTTTCTCTAAGAATTTGGAATACATATGGCGCCAAAACTGGGATTCTGAGGAGGCTCTTCAAGTGTATGACATAAACGGACTACCAATAATGAAGGAGTAAGTCATATTATGTATAAAAGGCTATCATGTAGGACTTTGTGAAGTAAATGACAATGAAATGCAATTTAGCAGTTTGCACATTTTTAGTTTACAAATTGCTTCACTAAGGAACAGGGATGTGTATGGGTCGGTTTGGTTTGGGTGGGCAACTAGCAGAATCAAACCAAGAAACCTTGGCTTGGTTAGGGCTACTTAATATTGAACTATCTATACGTTAATAAATTGAACAAATTAAAGGATGGTATTGGATTCATTAGCCAGTCTTGACTTTCGGTAGTTATGAGTATTTTGTTTAGAAGTTCATTGATCTACATGTATTGGACAGGTCTCAATACCAAACCAACGGCGTTACGTAGGGTACTGGGAGGATACGCTTTCTATTCCTAGGGGAGTTGATCATGGCCCTCCATCTGTGAACTCGCCTGAACCATGTAGCAGAGAATTGGTTCGAATTCGACTTTATGACACGGTTAACACTGGCTCTGTCTTCTTTGTGGTCTCAGAGTTACAAGAGGTAAGTGCATTCCACACTTTTGAGAAAGTAAATGATATACTAAATTAGAAGTGCATCTAGCTAGAAATCCCAAAATATAGGATGCTGGAAATCCCAAAAATAACTTAATGAAGATGGTCAACATAAAGACTTCACCATGTTCCTTGGGTTTGTTGTTTATATATGTATGTAGATATGTTAAAATGCTACTGGTAATGCTTATAAAAAAAATCTTGATTCTCTAGATTTTCTAATTTTTTATTGAGAGTTAACCATGGCTTGGGTTTTCAGTTCTTTATTGATGGTTTTCTATATTGTAAAAATTGACTTAGAGAATGCATTATACTGAAAGTGGCACAACTTTTGTGCTCTTGCCATTTTCTTATTAATTTCAAGTGGGATAGCTTGAATTGTTATGTGATACCTGAGATCATTTAATAGTGTTCATGAGTCAATCATAATATTTTTGAATTTAAGCTTGGTTATCTGCTTTGGTTTATGTAATTTGATTGGAGTTTCCTCACATTCATTTTAAATAGGTTCCTGGTTAGCGGTATTGTCCACCCGTGGAAGTGTTTAAGAGTTGCTGCAGAGAAGTTAAAAAAGGTTGTGTGAGACCAAACAGCTCCCGGTATTATCTCTCTTTTGTTGATCAATGTGGAGAGGGGAATCGATCAGAACCAGTAGAACCTCATCTAGTAGTCCAAATGGACACAGAGAGTTCTGTACTGTACCAGAAAACCTGCCTCGACTATTGTTTTGAAAAACCAATAAAGGTGAGAAATTTATAATACATTCACATACGTAAAGAGCATTGTCCACCGACTATTGTTGTTGCAGCCATTGCCTCACTTAAAGAGCAGGTGGAGGGAATACAGGAAATCAACCTGTCAGGTGGAGGGGATACAGGAAAAACCAATAAGTGTATACTATCAGATGTTTTGAAATGCCTTGGTGACAATAAAAAACATATGAGAGAAAGCACTCTGACTACTTTAGATGCTTGGCTTGCTGCTGTTCATCTCGACAAAATGGTTGGGTTCCAATTTCTCTATTTCGTTAATGCATTAATTAATTTTATATATTTATCATGCTTCTCTGATAAATTTTTCAATTCTGTTTCTTTATTAGGTGCCTTACATTACTACTGCTTTGATGGATGCGAAGCTTGGCACGGAAGGGCGCAAGGATCTTTTTGATTGGCTATCAAGGCAACTTAGTGAATTAAGCAATTTTCCTGATGCTGTAAATCTGAATTATGTATTGTTTCAAATTGTTATGCTAGATGGAAGTGACTTGTGAATGAAAACTTAGAATAGTTGTATTGTGTCGAATGTTAATGAATTATGTATTGTGTCGAATGTTAATGATTCAGTTAATTTGAATGATACTTTAAAATTATAGGTTTGTTATGGATTGAATGAATTATTAGGAATTACAGGTGTATTGTTTTCCTGCTTTGGTGACCAATTTATTAGTCGCAACAAAAAAATAATTTTTTTTCGCAAAAAATGACAATTGCCGACCAAGAGTTTTGGTCGCAAAAAATACATCTATTGCCGACCAAAACAGCTCTTGGTCGTGGAAACTTACTTTTGCCGACCAAAAGTTTTGGTCGCGAAAAGTAACAAATGGCGACCAAATTTTTTGGTCGCGAAATGTGATAATTGGCGACTAAAAAATTTGGTCGCGAAATGTGATAATTGGAGACCAAACTTTTTGGTCGCGAAATGTGACAATTGGCGACTAAGAAATTTGGTCGGGAAAATATCACTTTTCGCGACCAAAGTGTTTTAGCGACAAAATGAATTAGTCGCGGTAATTAAATATTTAGCGACCAAAAATTTAGTCGGCAAATCCAACTTTTGCCGACCAACCAAAATTTTGGTCGCGAATTAATTTTGCCGACCCTCAATTGGCGACCAAAGTAGCCATCAAAAAAATTGGTCACGGATAACTTTTGCTGACCAAAAATTGACTTTTAGCGACCAATTTTTTTACTGCCAAAAGTGTTAATTCTTGTAGTGTGGTGGTGGCAAGGTAAAGGTGGAGGCAGTGGGGTAGTGGGGTGATGGGGTGGCGGTGGTAATGGCAATAAGGTGGAGGTGGTCAGATGGTGGTGGCGGTGGGATAGTGGTGAAGGTGGTAGCAGCGGTGGCAAAAGTGGTTTGGTGGCAACAAAGCTGACAGTGATGGTAGTAGTGGTGGCGATTTGTTGATAGAGGTGATGGTAATGATGATGATACGTAAAGAGTACTTCTTCCATTCCAAAATATTAATCCATTGTTTCATTTTTTGTTGTCCCAAAAAAATATTAGTTCATTTTCAAAAATTAAGCACTAAAATGATACAAATTTCTTATTTTACCTTTCTTTTAAATTCATTGATTATGATAATTGATGTTCAAAGGATAATTTTGTAAAGTTAATATTTCTGAAATGTAATAGTTGTAAAGGTTGAATTCCCCAAAAATAACTAATATTTTGGGACGGATTGAGTATATATATGTTCACTATTTTTAGTGATGCAATTCTGAGTATGGCACTAGATTAATTAGTATTTATATTTTTTAATAATATGGGTGGGAAAAACTAGTCGATAATAAAGTGTTTAACAAAGAGAAGAGTAGTAATGCAGCATGGATCTGCAAAATAAAACTGAGCAGAGTTAAGACATACTTCTTTTTAAGGGTCTGTATTTCCAAGCTTTAATTAAAAAGTTTTTTGGTAGGCAGTTTGGTTGAGTTAACCCAATTATGTTATGCCAACCCAAATTGGGTTAGGCCTGCCTTATGTTCAAATTTTTCTCCCACAAATAACATGACATTTTGGGTTTATTTTTTAGGTGGTCAAAGATAGCATCAAGGTTGCCTGGAAGAACAGATAACGAGATCAAGAATCACTAGAACACTCACATAAAGAAAAAACTCATTAAAATGGGCATTGATCCCATTACACACAAACCACTCCATCAAGAACCAGACCCAATAATAATCTCTCAACAAATGCCTCATTCACCTTCTAATAATAATAATAATAATTGCCTGAATTCGGAAAATTTCAATTACAGTACCGGTCAGGAGTCCCCTGAAAATGCCAACAACCAAACAACCTCCAATGACAACCTTACCTTCCCACGAAAAAATTTGACCGGCTATGAAACTCAAAAGGATGATGATGACGACCCATTAATGAGTTGCATTCAATCTGAAACATTTCTTGATGATGCATTCTGGAACTTTGCTAATACTTCGAGAGGAGATCAAGATTACACTGAGTTTGGATTGTCTTCTTCTTCTTCTTCATCTTCATCAGAGGATTGTAACTCTACATGGTTGTTGGATTATAATGATTTTGATTTTGATTTGGAGTGTTTCAACATAGACATGAGCACATTTGAAGTGGATGCGACCATTAATTAGCCTGCACTTTATCACTAAGCCCACAATAAACCAATAAGAAGGTGACAGCTCTTCAGCATTGGAAATGTTCAGAAGCTATTTTGTAGTATATTATGAAGTACCAAAAGCCCACCCCGCTCTAAAGAGATGTGTGGTTGAAACTACTATGATAACATCGTAGTACCTTCGCATGTGAAGATGATGCAGAAGATGTTAATAATGTGTAATTAAGGATGTCTTTGGACACCTAACGGAAACTACAATGATAGCATTGTAGTACCTTCTCATGTGAAGATGTTGCAGAAGATGTTGGTAATGTGTAATTAAGGATGTCTTAGGACACCAAACGGTAAATAAAGTAAAAGATATGTTATGTATTAACAAAATTTGTAGAAGTTGTTGATAACGTATAATTAAGGATGTCTTTTGGACACCAAACGATAAATAAAATAAAAGATATGTTATGTATTAACCAAATTTATAGTGTAAATTTAAATTTAGTATGATGGGCTACACCTATAATAAATTTGATCTACTTCAAATTTTAAATATCTTTTTCAATATTTTTTTAAGTACGCAATATTAGTATAATACATTAATCGTTTACGAATTGACTATTTTAGTGACTTTTTGATTTTTTAAGAAAAGACGTGTTGAAAATTAGAGAGAATGATATAATAACTTATAGTCACTTTTTAACTTTTTTGGCTAAAATTATTCATTGCCAAAGGTCATATAAATAGGGAAATTTTAAGGTACGCATGCATCTTTAGTTACAATTTTTGTGGTTTTTGTTATTGATGTAGAGTGTTTGGCCGTAAAGTTTCTAGAATTCATGGACAAACAAGGCAAAGGTTGTTGGAATATGTGTGAATATAAAATCTCATATCGAATAAAGAGTAAAAGAGATGTATCTTAATATACATTAGATAGACTCTCTACTTGTAGGCTTAAATTTTTATGTGGGTGTGAGTTTCAAATAATATAGATTGAGCATTGATAGGGCATTAGTGGACTCTGGGAGTTTCTTCCTAATGAATTGAGTCAGTGTTGCTATGCGCTTGTGAGCTTCCTAATTCCCTAACAAATGGTATCAGAGTTGATAGTAGATGATCTATTAATGGACTCCTCTAGACCATTGAAGTTGGTGGGCTTGGGGTTAGGCTTGGGCTTGGGCTTAGGCTTAGGCTTAGGCTTAGGCTTGCACAAAAACTCTTTATAAAGTAAGAAAAATCCATGGTGACTCTTGATGGAGTAAAAAGAAAATTCCTGGTGTATATAGAGGTTAGACTGCGACTATGTGGCTCTCTTAATAAAGTATGGTGGCTTATGATTGAGTATGTATAGATGGCATGGATTGGACTTGATGTTGGAGAGTTATAAGTCAGGACTAAGGGGGACTGCATATGATCTATGATGAACTTGCGGATGATAGATCAAGACTCGAGGAATAGCAAGGAAAGGCCAATGTTTTGTTCACACGTGAGAGAGAGATTGTTGGAGCATATATGAAGGTAAAGTCGTACATCGGATAAAGAGTAAAAGAAATGTATCTTAATATACATTAGATAGACTCTCGACTTATAGACTTAAGCACTTAAGCTTTTAAGTAGGTACAAGTTCTAAATAATATATGTTGAGCCTTAATATGGCATTTGTAGACTTTGGAGTTTAGTGTTGTTGTACACTTGTGGGCTCCCTAATTTCCTAACAAAGGCAAAAGACACGAGATAACACATGCTCGGAATGATGTAGAATTTGGTAGAGACATGGAAAATGGCGTCACGATCAATACCCATCGCTTTTCCATGGTGTACGATGGATTTCATCTAAACTTCACTGTTTAGGCCTCTAAATCTGCAATATTGTCATTCTTGAAAAGATTTGTTTTGCTAATTACTTAGTTTTGGAGAATCCGTTTGAGGCTAGATTTTTTAGAATATGTAATTTTTATTCTAGTTTCTAGATTTCAGCTTAACTAATATTTCTATTTTTGGTAAATTTCGTATTGTCTTTGATTTAGGCTTTGACAAGCAAGTTTTACCTTTTCCTAATTATTTCTTAGGAAAAATCCTTGATAAATCCAGATTCCCAACCCTATAAGTCATTGAGGACAAGGGATGGATCTGTTGAGGATATAAGGACCACTTTTTTGAATTTATTGGTCAAAAGTCTATTAACAGAATTAGTTTCATAAATGCCACATATATGTTCAATTTTTTTTTTTAACATATCTGTTCAAATTTTTATTTTATCTGTTACAAAATATTTGTTACAATTCTTTATCCAGTTTTTTTATCTATTACAATTATTTTAATATATTTGTCCTGGTTTTTTTCTTATCTGTGCAAATCGAATCTATATGTCCTAATATTTTTTTCTTTATCTATACGAATTTTTTTATTTGTACAAATTCAATGTATATTATCTGTATAGGATTAGTACAGATAGACATATACGGTGCAAACACACATACTCTCTCTCTCTCTCTCTCTCTCTCTCTCTCTCTCTCTCTCCACAACCGCTATTAATGGCTACTTTAATCTCCACACCCCTCGTCCGTGTAAACCCATCTATATCCATATATGTATATATCTTCATCACCACCATACCTATCAAAATTCACAATACCCATTATCAAAAGAATACACAAAACAACCAAAATCACATTCGCATACCATTCTTTAACCTCTACTATCGCCATGGATTAAGGAGTGGTTTAGAATGTTCTAAATAAGTGCATTTTTTGACTTTTTATATAAAAAAAAATTGTAGAAAAGTAGAGAAAGTGGGTAGAAAAGTAGAGAAGAGATGTTGATAGATGTTGATTGATGTGACCCAAATAAGTGTATATATGCAAAAAAAAAAAAAAAGTACACTTTTTTAGTGCATGCCAAACACCTACTAAATTGCTCTCAAAGCTCGCCAATGCATCACCGAGAAACTTGCATTCATCTTAGCCTCAGCCTCAACCTCACCAAATCAGAATCCACCGCCTTCTTTTTTACCATCTTCGATGCCTGATTGTTGTTATTCTCGCTCTTCTTTCATGACAGATTTTGCCGAACCATACTTAGACCTAAGTTTCTTAGTAGCCTTGGATCTTCTTCCATGGGTTTCGAAGCAAGAGGCTTGATGCGAGGATTTGTGGGAGGAGAGTCTAATTCAGAGCCTAAATCATCGTCGGATGGAGATTAGGGATTTGTAGGTCTGAGCTTTCTTTAAACACGAGAGAGAAAGAGAGATAGAGAGAGTAGTGTGCATAGGAGGAGACGGAGATGACAGATAAACGTATAGTGTCCTTAAGAACCTAAACAAAACACGCCTGACTCTATAGCCTTAAAAGTCCACAAAATGAATTTATGGACTAAGCCTCGTATTTCCTATTGTAATTAGGGTTAATTTCTCTATAAATAAGAGCGGCTTAGTTATAGCGATTCCAGTTTTGATCTGACCCATTTGATATTTCGGACTCAGGTTTTACGGTTTCCAAATGTTGTTCATAACTTTTCCCTTTTATTCTCACTTGAGTTTGGCTATTGAGTTGGTTGGAACAAGTTGGTTGCTTAGTTTTCAAATCTTTGTTACCCAGATTTTTGCTCTTCCGTTCAACCGGCACTTCTTGCGTTCGAGCGGGCTTTGCGAACTCTCAGTATTTATGTAGGTCTGCAAAAATATTGGGAGAGTGTATTCTAAGCTCAAGCGGCTCTTTTCGCGCTCAAGCGGCCATTCTTGCGCTCGAGTGTTGGTCTGTTGTCTGCAAAACTACTGGATGTGTGTATTCTGCGCTCGAGTGAAACAACTTACTGTGTCTGACACTCGAGCTTCAACTCTTGCACTCGAGCGGACTGTGAGTATATCAATTCATGACAGCCACATTTCTCATCACTTTTTCATCTCTTTCTCTCTCTAAAATATTTCAAAACCCGAGATCTTGAGCTTCTCTCTCTAGAACTCACCTTCTCTCTACTTTTTTACCTTGATCTATTGGGTTCTCTACTCGGGTGCCTTTGTTAAAAAGAAAGAGCGTCTCTAGAGCTCCATTTTGGTCCGAACAAGATTTGATTTCGGCGTCATCGAAGTTACTCCATTGTTGTTTTGGTCTTCTAAACTCAAGGTAGGGATTTTCTACACTCTTCTATGAGTTTTAACTTAGTTATTTGTTGTTGGGTAAGAAATATTGGAACTTGTTGTGATTTTGAACAAACTTAGGGTTTTGGGTCAAAATTGAAATAGGAGTTTTCAAATGAACGTATTGGAAATGGTTATGGGAGTAGATATGAGCTTGTGTGGTGTTAAAATGATTGATTTTGGCGTTTAGGATGAAGTTAGGAAAAATGAAGTTTTGCTCTAAAATGTCTTGAATAATTATTTTGTATAGATAATGAAATTGGTATTGAAAGTGTGAAATTGAGAGGTTGCTTACATGAATGGTGTAGTTGGATTTGTTTAATCTCTCACCCATGGAAGTTTGGATAACTTATTTATTGTAAAGATTGTATATCTGTTTAGAAATATCTGTTTGGACTATCGGTAGAGGATAGCCATGATTATTGTAGAAATTAAGTGAGGATTAGGCGTATTGAAACTAATCTCTTGGTCGTTATCATTGAATATGATTATGAATTATATATATTGTATATGTATGATATTTGGGAGGAGAAATGAGATGTACTCCATATGTGGGAGAAGAAATAGGATGGACTCCATTAAATTAAGTTGGCCTCTGTGTCCAGGGTGAAAGTCCCGAAAACCGCGCGTATACATGTGTGTCAATTCCCGCGGATGAAATTTTCGTAAAATGGCAAGTGAATGTAATTGTATGATATTAATACTGGTTGGAGACCTGTGGGGTGTATCCTCTGTTTGATTAATTAAGCGAAGTGAGCCCAAATAGTGAACTGGGATAAAAATGAATTAAGATGTAAGTTTGATATAACTTGGTTTTGGGAAAAGAGTTGTGAAAGATTTTGTCGTTTGACATTGAACCTGTGCATTTTACTTATATCTTTGTTAAACCT